CTGGACGGCACGGAAGAAGTTGACAGATTTGCCTGGAACCCCCACAAGATGATGGGTGCCCCTCTTCAATGCTCTCTTTTCCTTCTGAAAGAACAGGTGCCGACGCCGCAGCAGTTTCCATTTGTTTCCTATCGGTTAGTTGTCGCACGGTTTACGAGGCGAGTCTCTCTGCGCAGGGTCTACTGCATCACTGCAACTCGGCCTCGGCGACGTATCTGTTCCAACAAGACAAGTTTTACGACGTGTCCTACGACACTGGAGACAAAAGCGTACAGTGCGGGAGGAAAGTTGATGCCTTCAAGTTCTGGCTCATGTGGAAGGCCAGGGGGGATGTCGGACTCGAATGGAGGATCGACAACGCCTTCCAATGCGCCAGGTACGGCATGTTCACAATTTACTATCTTTTTTTGGGCACTCAGACGTGTTTTCGCAAGGCAGCAACCAGTGCCGGGTCGACGTACCAGTTGTCACCCATCCCAAGGCTCATAGTTACAAGCCAAGAAGTATTTATTAAAGACCAATTTCTTCACTAAGACTGCCTGTTTGTGCTCGGCCATTTTGGGGCAAGCCAAAAATATGAAGTTCCTGGCGAGCAACTTGCTTGTTCATAGCGGTTTTTGATACTTCAGCTTCAAAATGTCATTGCACTTGAAGCACTCGGTGAAACTAAGAACCTCTCTGGAAAACATGGCTTTTGCATAAAAGGCTTGCGTAAAAGGCACGATTCGAGAAAAGCAGCAAAACCTTTTCACAGATCATCTGGGGCTGATGACTGATCTTAAACTAGGGGCCTTAAATAAAAAATTTCCTTCAAGTCGGAATTCAGGCAGTACCTGTTGATGTGCATAAGCTCCTTTTTCGTATCCATACTTCCGCCGTACTTTCATTAGTCAACATAAAAAATATTAATAGTTTGCATCTGAATTAATAATTAGATTTAGAACAAAACCATTACTCGAGGATAGACGAGGAAAACAAAGTACCTTGAAAAGCTTTCTTGAAAGTCTCAGTCCTGTTAACACTGCCACCAGTACTGTTCTACGTTTAGTATTCCTTCAGGCGTCATTCCGACGGTTTCGACGACTAGTTCATCTTCCCTTTCCTCTCGGCAAGGGACTATAATGAAATAGCTAGACATCCGCCTGCCATCTAGGAGCACGGAGAAGATTGATCATACGTAGCTACAAACACTTCTGACCTGTCTCAAGATCACTCTATCCTCTTGCAGGAATCCTTAAGCAAAACATGGGCATGGGAATTGCAAAAAGGGCGCTTGGGCCTTGAAGCCCTTTTTCCAGAGAACTCAATTCTTTTAAACTTGGCGTCAGGAAATTCCTTATTCATCGAGATGTCATTCGTAGAAAGGCATGATATTGGATGGAGATGTAAAAAAATTAAATAAACTTGGTAACATTTTTTTAAATGGCACAATGTATCAATACATTCATGCAAGCGTGTAAATATGCATGCCTGCAGATACATGACTGAGAAGCTGCAGTCTCGAGAGGGATTCCGGCTGGTCCTGCCGGAATTCGAATGCACTAACGTCTGCTTCTGGTACATTCCCCCTGCCTTTAGGGGCAAGACTGAAGACGAGGACTGGTGGGAAAAACTCGAAAAGGTCGCCATCGCTTTCCCACTTA